TGCCAAACTAATTGGGCAATTCCATACAAGTGCTTGACCCTTGCAATGTGCTGTCGATTCACGCAGCGGGAGCAAGTTGTACAAGAAGCACTTCACGAACTCCGCAGCTGACATCTTAGCAGCGTGGCCGAAGCGTGGCGGAAGCGTTGCTGAGTCCCCGCTTCAAAGAGGTGCCTTTTGGTGCCTTTTGGTACACGGGAATTGAGCCTAAGGGGCCTGTCAGACACGGGGCAAACGATGATTGAACAGATGAAAAAAACAAAACAATGGGATGTCAGAAACAGACACCACGAATGGTCCTGGACATGTTTCTCCCTTGTAGAAATCATGACTGGTCTGACTGTTCAATGGTGTGCCGATTGGGAAAGCTTCAGAACCTCTTAGCATGTAACATGGAACATGGACGAAAAACAAAAGGACTCAGACTAAGATCTCCATAGAAATCCCTCCTCAGCCAAGAAACTGTTTGGAAGCGATCCTGGCAAGGTCGAAGCACATTGAGAAAAGACATTGGAAGCTGTTTGAAGCTGGCTTGGAGCTGTTTTGGAGCTGTTCTGCTCTGATGCTTTCGCAGGAAACTGTTGGCAGTTTTAGCAAAATTCGACCAAACAGTCGACCCTAAGTCCTGAGTGTTGAAGTGTTGAACAGGATCGATGCGAGGATTGTGAATGCCACCTTCAACCCAAGGAGATGAGTAGATGGTTCCCCTGGCGCAAGGCTGGATAGTTCTGCAGAGGATTCACGATCATGTTGCAAACCAATGTCGGAAGTGGTACATAATACAATGTATTTGCATATTCATGCGCACCTAATAAATACAAATACTGTTCTTAATACATGCATACACCATCAGAAAGATATTTTCTATGTTTCTTGTTTCTTCAGAAAAGCGAAGCATTCCAAATCTATGTCCGAGGCTGAAAAACTCGGAGTCTTTTGATCTCTGTGCAGGACATGTGTGTGCGTGTAACGTCTGCACAGACGTAAAATTTCATCACATTATATTATATTATATGTGTCTTTAATGCAGGGGGTCACCGGGGTCCCGGGGGGGTCGGTGACCAACGAAGACACCTCCCCGGGACAGGTGAAACGTACCTGCGGGACTGTGGTGGCGCACCTGGGCGCATATAAGTCGCAGCTGGTGGCCACCATAGTCCCATATATATATATGTGTGTGTAATTAATTCAAATCTAATTGCACGTGATGGGATTCGGTTCCCGACGGATCACTTAAACGATCCATTCTTGTCTAGTGTGTGTCTCGGCCCTGGTGATGTGCGGGATTTCCGCGCGAAAACACGAAAGCGCGAAGGCAGCAAAGCTATAGATTTCAAAAGGATGGAAAGTCCCAGTTTGGAAATTCTCAGTGAAAAATGCAGCATATGATCATCTCTGGATCTAACGGCACGTCAATGCAAAATAAAAAAAATGCGCTGCAGCTTTGTTGTGCTGGGGCCTCATGGAATGCAGTACACAGTACTTGAATGCCTAAATGATCCATCTATATTTCTAATCCTACCTACGCACCTACCGACCTACTTACCTACCTACTTACCTACCTACCTATCTATCTATGTATCTATCTAATTACTTATCTAATTGCCTATCTACCTATCTAGTCTAATCTAATCAAATCTATCCCATCTAATCTAATCTATCCAATCTAATCTAATATATCTAATCTAATCTATATAATCTAATCTAATTTAATCTATCTAATCTATCTAATCTAATCTAGTCTATCCAGTCTACCTAATCTATCTAATCTACCTCATCTATCTAATCTATCTATCTATCGATCAATCTATCTATCCATCTATCTATCAATCCATCTGTCTATCACCTATCCTCGGTTTATCTATCTAACTACCTACCTTTCTATCTATATTTATTTCCTTTGTATTGTATACTATTACCTCTATCTCTTGTCTAATCTTTTCCAACCTTGAATTTTCTGTACTCCAATCCATCTCTATGTAATGTTGTTGTTCTGCATCCATGTGTTCTTCTAAACTTCGATGTACATATGTTTGTAGTATGCATTTATGTTCTCATCTATGCTGGTATATTTGTTTGTATGTATCTTTATATCAATGTGATGCACTGCAATGAAAGGTAAAGTAAAGTGGTAACCTAATGTAACTTAACAAAGTGCATTTATGCCTGTAGGCATTGCATGCATGTACAGATGCATATACGCATGTGCCTCTCTTTGCATCGATCTTTGTATATCTATGCGTGTAGCTGGTGAAGCGTGATGTAATATGATGAAAGGTGTGATGCAAACCCTTGTGATTGCAACCAATATCTGCACATTCATGTACATATGGACTTACGTACCCGTGTACGTATGTCAATGTACATATGTACGTATGTACATATGTAGGTACATACCTGTACATACGTACGTACGTTCGTACTTACGTACGTAGGTAGGTATGTATGTATGTAATGCAACGTATGTGTGTGTCTGGATTTTTGCATAAGTGTGTAATGTGTAGTCCCGCATTGCGGTGGCGCGTGGTGCCATGCAATTAAAAAATGTAATGCCACGTAATGAGATGCGATGCGATGTATCTGTGCATATCTATGTGTGTGTGTACGACTATTATGTATGTCTCTATGTATGCCTCTGTGTATCTATAAATGTCTCTATGTATGCACATTCTGCAATGCTCTGCCATGACACGGACGGTGAACACAACGAAAACATGCATGTACCTACGTATGTATCTACGATTGTCTACGTGTGTGAAATGTAGTCTAACATATTGTAACATTTTGTGTATTTATGCGTCTATGGATCGAGGTATCTATGGGTGTAAAGATGTTTGCATGCCTGCGTGTGTTTGTGTGTGTGTGTGTGGGTGCGTGTGTGTCTATGTTTGTACCAATGTATCTATGTATGCATCCGTATTTCTATGTATCTATGTATTGCATTCATGTTTGTACCCTTGGAATTGCATCATTGCAATGCAGCTTAATGTAACGCAATGGATTGTGATGCCGTGAAATGTACCGTAGTGCAACGTAATGAAATGTAAGAGAATGTAATGCAGGTAATCTAAGGTAAGATAAGGTAAGGTAAGGAAACAAAAACATAATGTACTGCGTGTTTGTCCGTATGTGTTGCATTGTGGAGTAGTGTGGCGTAGGGTATTGTCTTGTTTTGTGTTGTATTGTACTGTACTGCACTGTATTGTATTGGATTGGGTTGGATTGTACTGTATTGTATTGGAAATGTGCTTTTGTCTCTATCTTTCTTTCTTTCTGCCAATGAATGCACCTCTGTGGCTCTGTATTATTTTCTGTCTACGTATCTATGTGTTTGTTGATGTATGAGTGGATGAAGGGGTTGATGTGTACATGAAATGTAATGTAACATCTAGAGGCGGAGACTAGCTCACATCTGTCCGCATGTTCAAGCATTTTCTGCTTCTCCTTACTTCTCAGCTTTCTCTGTTTCCCAGTTTTTTCTGTTTCGCAGTTTTCACGGTTTTCTCGTTTTCTTGGTTTTAGGGTTTTCCGGTTTTCCCATTTCTATACATCTCCTCGTTCTGGCCACGCACAAATCTCTTGCTTAGTTTCATCTTCCCACTGGTGAATCCGCAACTCAGCCTGATGGGGTTCGACAGACTCCAAAAGGTGTACGAGCCCTCCCTTGGCACACGGAAAATCGAAGGCGAATAACGGAAGAACGGTTTGGAAATTCTCCCATCAAGTGCTGCACACTGAGTTTGATGAGTTCAACTCAATTCTATCAAATCAAAGTGCAAGCGTCGATGACATTCTATGACACCACTTTTTGTGCTTGCAGTAGGTAGGAGGTGACAATCTAGGTTTTGTTCTTGAGGAATAATAAATAAAGGCTCAAGCAAACATACACGAACATCACGAACTGCTCAAAAGTGAAAAGGCCTGACTTTGCCAGTGCCCCTCAGATAAGCTCTGCCAAGATGCAACCATCCGTTCGGGCCCAAGTACTGGCGAATGAAACAACTTCTGTCACGCGCTGACTGCTTTGCCAAACCAAACATCACAAAAAACATGACCATAAGTTGCCTTATCAGGGCCTCTGGGTCCCTCCATGCTATTGATTAGGGCCTTTGGATGTCATTTCGTGTCATTTCGTGTCCATGTCCAGGCCTTTGGATGAACTTTGGGGAAATCTGGACCAATTGGTTTGATTGGGCCCTTTGCAACAGCACCACGTAGAGGTGCCGATGCCGCGGTCCTCCCACAACACGACTGTCAGGATGGTGGGAAGGGCAAAGAATTGACGTCACTGAAAGTCATTGAGCCTTCTGAGCCTTCTGAGCCTTCTGAGCCTTCTGAGCCTTCTTCCCTGTTTTTTTGAGGCAAGAGAAATTCCAATCTGACCCAATCTGTCTCCCTACCAGAAACATCACGGAAATCACCAAATCTGTCTTCCCTCAGGTCACATTGACGTCACATTGACGTCACATTGTTGTCACGTCGAGATGCGAAGGCTACGCGGCTACGCGGCTACGCGGCTCGTGACATGTTTCACTGGGCCGTGCCTGGCAGCTCGACGCAGCAGACCAGCCATGGCTCGACCTCAGGGTGCAATTCCGAACTCCAAAGATCGAACAGATCGAACAGATCGAACACATCATTTTGATTCATTTTGATTCATTTTGATCAATTCAGAATTTCAAACGTCAGTTGGAACGTCAAAGTTCCTGAAATTCGAAATGTGACGTCTTAAGAACTTGGCAGCCGAAATCTCTTTTCACACTCAGTGCTCAGGATTCAGCCAGCGACCAGACAATACTGGTAGGAACAGCAAGAGGCTAGTCTGAGCCAAGAAGGGCTGCGTTGGAAACCTACCACATCTACCACCTTAAACAACCCAACGGTTGTGTCCAGATCTTTGGCAAAAAGCTCTCCAAGAGGAATAGTCAAGACTTAGGTCATAGATAAGAAGTGTCGTATGTGCCATCTGGTCATTCTGCTTGAGTTTATCTGCACGGCATTCAGAAACGCAAGCGAGGTTTTATTCAGAGGCCGATTCCTCATCAGAATCCATCATCATCTTTTCGAAATGAGGTTTGCCTTGCACAGAGATGCACCAGTTGGGGTTCGAAATCAATCTAGGCTTACCAACATCTTAATCAGTGTTTTTTTCAACTCACTGAAAAAAAAAACATTCACACAAACAGTTCCTTTATCCATAAAATGAACGGATGAAATTGAAAGAAGCCACTTTCCAGTGTGAAGACACGAATGACATTGTCAAAGCCATCGGAGATCAATCGACGAGGGCCCCAGAGACCGATGGTTGAGGTGTACATGCGCCATCCTGCAACAGAAAGCAGCATAAAATGAGGAACGAGTTTCCACAACACAGTTTCTCAGCATCTTTGCCCTGACAAGCTGGAAAATGATCATTCCGAGAGTCTGGACAGTAGAACGCGATGCTTTTCTGCTTGGCTTTCGGATTGAAGCTTCTTGGTCCAAATTGGCAAATACTGCAGACATCTGCAGGCATATCAAGGATCAAGGCCTGTCTTGGACCAAAGTTGTCTACAAGGACCATCCGAAGCCAGGAGTCCGTTCCATGCCTCGGGTTGGTCGGGTCGGCAGTCAGAGTGCAAATCGGATGTTTGGTTTCTTGGACAAGCAGCTCGAAGTTTATTTGCTGGGCTTCACACACAAAATCACATGATTCCAAGTCATCCTGGTCATCCTTGCGACTTTACTAATTCTATCTACTTTTCCTAGATCTCAATGATCTCGCTGGATTCTTCCTGTCCTCAGCCAACCTGCCAAGGCACAAGAAAGGTCATGATTCCTGCTCTACTGACCAGCAAAATGCGACTCTCGCTGATCATCACCTGCAGAGCAAGAAATTTTGCGACATGAAAAGATTGTCGAGAAGACTCAGTGACCTATGTGACCTGTTAGAAAAAAGTCAATTAAAGAAACAAACTTCCTAGAAGGTTCTCGATGTTCCTCCACGGCCCTCACCGGTCCTGACCAAAACAAAATCAGCCCACACCGCTTTGGCGGTGAAGGCGTGCTTATTGGGGGGCAAAACAGCAACACTAAATGCTCAATGACATTTGTTAATATAGCAGTCGCTATATCAGCTTTAGCTGGGGGGGGGGCCAAAAACGGTTTCGCACCGAGACCAGAATACGGTGGTGTTTTCGACATTTTTCGAAGATTTTTGGGTGTCTGAGCGCAAGAGGGTATTGAAATGGAATTTTGGGTCATTTTGGTAGCTTTCCGGCAATGGAAAAACGGCCAAAAATGAAAAAAACATTGTACATAGCAAGATTTTGCAGGGTTTTTGGATGCCAGAGCATTGAAAACACTGCAAAAACAAGTGTTTTGGACTGACGTTATAGCAAAAAACGTGTAAATTACCGTATGCTTGACTGGAAACATTACAAAAACACTGTCAAAAGCAATGTTTTGGAAGGATTTACTGCCTTTATGGCAAAAAACGTGTAAATTACCGTCTGTTTGACTGGAAACATTGGAAAAACACTGTCAAAAACAATGTTTTGGAAGGATTTCTTATATATATGTTGGAGTTGGCTACCGGCATTGGAACATGGAAAAATTGAAGAAAACACTGTAAATAGCGGTATTTTCAACGGTTGGGGAGATAAGGGAATTGGAAGCATTGTCGAACATGATGTTTTCGACCGGTTTTATGGCGACAAAAGTGTAAAGTACCGTGCTTTGAAGGAAACCATTGCAAAAACATGGAAACACATTCAAAGAACACGGGATTTGGGGGACTATCTAGGCGTCGTTGTCTAGCTATTTGAAATTCCGCAGCTTGGAGAGCCTCCAAGGGAGGGAAAAGTGAAAATTCCATAGCTTGGGAAGCTGTCACGGCGGGGAAAAGTGAAAATTCCCTAGCTTGGGAAGCCCCCACGGGGGGGAAAAGTGAAAATTCCCTAGCTTGGGGCCCCCACGGGGGGGAAAAGTGAAAATTCCCTAGCTTGGGGAGCCCCCACGGGGGGGAAAAGTGAAAATTCCCTAGCTTGGGGAGCCCCCACGGGGGGGAAAAGTGAAAATTCCCTAGCTTGGGGAGCCCCCACGGAGGGGAAAAGTGAAAATTCCCTAGCTTGGGGAGCCCCCACGGGGGGGGAAAGTGAAAATTCTTAGCTTGGGGAGCCCCCACGGGGGAAAACCACCCTTAGCCCCTCTCACGGACCGAAATAAACCTGCGGTGTGGGCGGCCACCCCACGCGAAGCGGGGTGAATATATCGAAGTACTGTCAAAATGCAAGATTCGGTCTTGTTCAAAGTTGTTCAAAACTTCGACTCCCTGCTGGGTCGCCAGGTGACAATTGAAACTACATCACGATTGCCATGCCGAGACTTGAAGAGCTCGTGAACCGCACGGCAACTCCCACCTTGCAGTAGAGCAAGCTGTCCATCTACACTTCCCACTGCGACTTTCATTGGGGCACCGAGGAAGCTCTTTGGCCAACACCCTTGGTCAATCTCCTGTCGATAGCTACCGTGAAAGTAACTCAGCGAAGAGACCTCCACGTAGGCAGAGACGAATTTCAGTTGTGTTACAGTTACCGCACCCTGTCTGACGCTGACAGCCAGTTCAGCAACACCTTCACCCGAACCAGCGAGGATACGAGCTCGAGCACCATTGGAATCGACATCTTCGCAGAGGATACTCATGCAACGGCACGGTCCACTTAAAAGAGATGCACATTCGACGGATCCATTGGTCAAGTTCCAGAGAATCACATGACAATCCAGACTTCCGGACATGCCAAAGCCCATCAAAGGTTGACTTTTGAATAACGCCACACAGCGTACAGAATCTACATGACCTTCAAAACAACCAAGCGCTGCTCCATCTGAGCGTCGCCACAAACGCACGGAGGCATCCAAAGGTCGACGAGCATAGTAACCAGGATCTCCACTACCAGACAAAATGTGTTCATCGTTCAGAGCCACTGCGATGACTTCATCACCATGACGACCACATAAAAGCTCCTAACACAATAGCGACATAGCGACCCAGTGCGACACAAATCGACACAATAGCAGCTTCAATAGCATCAATGATTCACAAAGGATCAAGCTTGGCAGCATGGCAGCATGGCCCTAAACCGCGAAAGACATGAACTCACGTATACCGTATACTCACGTGCTCAGAGAAAGGTCGGACCCTTCCAGTCTGACAAAAACCTAAAAGGTTGAAGAATTCACCGTCCACACGACTTTCTATACTTATTCTACGGTACGAGTATTCTGAATTCTGCTTCTATATTTCAAGTCTATGTCACTAGTGTTCTCAGTCTATGTTCTCAATATTTCTCAGTCTTCATGTTCAGTCTATGTTCTCCTTCTGTCCAGTCTTCCAATGAACTGCTTGCAGTGCCCCGTTGTAAAGCCCTGCTACCAGCATCTGCTCATCGCTGACCCAGCACCGAACAAAGCTGGTGAAGACCAGGACCTGACGGAAATCCAGGACCACTCCGACCACTGTAATTTGGAGCGGAAGACAATTAAAACACTGAGAAAACTGTGAGAATAGACTCGAAGATAGAAAGAAAAAGAATGATATATAATGACAGTTTGATGACATATTATGACCATATAATGACATATGATGACAGAATACAACCAGCTATGAAAGAGTACGAAGGAATACGAGTATCAAACCCTCAACATAAGTTTCCAAAAATCCTTCCATGGGTCCACCCCTTCAGCAAAAAGTTGGGGGTGCCTTCCACCTGTTCCATGTCACAATCTCCACACCTGCTCAGACTTCAGTGCTCCGCCTTCGAAGCGATTCAGCGTGTCTTCCTCCTTCAGAGAAGCCACAAAAACAAGCCATGTAGTCAAGACACATATTGTCAGAATTGACAGAATTGACAAGTTGAGATGTCTCAGAAAACTAAAAAAATTAGAGTCTCAGTATAAGAAAGCTGGGTATGTTCTGGTGCATCTGGACATTCATTTTGTGCATTTTGTTCTGGTCCCTTCGGAGTTTTTGCCACGTCCCTGTCCAGACTCCTCTTGCAGCTTGGAGGCCCAAAGTTTTGGCCACGGACCTGTCCTGAAAATCCCGAAACTGGGACAGAAGCTCTGTAAACTGTGGAAAAGATTGGAAAAACATCAAGAACAACTGAAGTTTTCACAACCAAAATATCTTCAAACGAAACCGCATTTTGCACGTCGATCCATGTCTTGTGGTGGTGAGAGTGACGATAAACAAGGAGCTAGATTGTCTTTGGAGCACCAAGAACCTTGTGTCCAGGGACATATACCCAAGTCTTCCGCGTCAACAGTAAAGAGAGACGAACACCAAATACGAACAATACGAAATTGCACAGTCAACCCAAGCAGAAACCAGCAGAAGCTTGCTGCCATGGCTCAGTTTTTGTCCGAAACGCCATCGTGCCAAGTCTTCCCAGGCACCTCAGCTGCTGAAACTTCCAGTTACAAGGCAACAACTCATTTGATCAAATTTATATTAATGTGGAATATGTGTATTTACATATATATATATGTATATTGTGAGTGGCAGGTGTCCCTCACACTGGCAGCAGATGATCCAGGCCCCTGGCCTGCAAGATTGATAGAACGGCCTCGTTCCAATCCCCTATGGCTCACAGCACAAGGTTTTTTCCCACCCTCCAACAAGTCCCTAGGCCCTCCTGAGCCGCATGTGCTAACAGGTAGGAAAGGTGTTCTCTTACCCCATGTTATGGATACCTCAGAGTTTGACATGAAAGGGTGGTGCAATGATATTGAATCACACTCCCAAAAAACCGAAGTTTTCGAGAAAACAAGTATCATTGCATTTGGAGCCATGTTGATCGGTGCTGTTCAGCCAACGAAGCCGGTTGCGCGAAGACGCACGGTTCTTCAAAACCTCAAGTTCATCATGTAACTTGTATTGACCCATTTTGGGGGTCTCCCTAAGGAACGAATTTTCCATGATTTTCGTTAGTGCATCTGCGAGCTGTGCTCCAGAGTGGACCCATCTCAAGGCTACCCCTTCGGCTAAGAGGTCTTTTATTGAACGTGCAGTCAACTGGGCGCGATACTCGGCGCAATTGGGAACGGCTGTTCGAGTCACCAAATCAAACAGCGACTTGCAATCGGTCGCAGCAAAGCTCTCTGGGAGTTCTTGTGCCTTCAGAGTGGCTGTAGTGTAAGTTTCGGGTAGGTTTTGAAACGCAAGTTTGGGATTCTTCCATGGAGTATGTGGATCTAAGATCCATGCCCAACACAGCCTGACCCATGACAGTTGGTCTAGAACTGTATTTAAAGATGTCGTCTCGGCCGCAAGAGTACTTGTTACTACACGCTGTATCTTTTTACAGCCCCATGACATTGGGTTGACGGGACATCTGGTGTTGAGGCCAATGTCTTTGTGTGTAGCCATTATTAGACATCCAGTGTGAGAGTTTGGACTACTCTTTGAGGCGAATGAAGCATCGGAAAAAGCAAGAAATCTTAGTGATTCGATTGAAATGGGCTGAATTTTGATCGTGACATCATGGTGTTTCTTGGCTTCGTGAAGTGCTTGATTTCCTGAGATTAAAGTTTCGACAGTTGCATTGTTGATTGCGGATTGGAGCATGCTGAGTCTACTGGATAGATCTGGTCGCGTATGTACAGCTGCGTATTGAATGCTTCCAATGAGTGCTCTGAGCTGCTGCCTCTCTTCTTCGGTGACGGCTTGGTCAAGTTGTTTTCGGGCGTTCAGGATTGATCTTGATTGGTTCTATGGCTCTGATGTATTTGGACTGTGAAAGGTGAATGGTACTGTTTGGGGTTTGTTGCATGTCGATTCCAGTGAAAGTGAATTGACCAATTCGTTTTGTTCCAAAAGGGTACTTCTTCTCTAGTAATGCGAGCTTCTTTTGAAATCTCTCATTCCCTGCGCAAAGTCCATCATCTACATGCAGACCAAGGATACCATCAGGAGCTCCTGTTTTCGGATCCCTTAGAACGAACAAACATGGATCAAACGGAGACTGTTCAAATTCCAATTTCTGAAGTTCTTCCAGGATTGCTTGATACCACATGAAAGGCGCGTCCACAAGTCCATATGCTCCCTTTTCCAATTTACAGATTTCGTGGGGTGATAAGTTCATCATTTTGATAATTTCCGCTACTGGCTCAATAGCCAGGATTCTGTCTTGCTGTGGTTTTCCCTGAAGAAAAGCTGCTTTAATATCAAATGATTGAAGATTCTATCCCTTTGATGCTATTAATTGGAGGAGTAGCATTTTTGAGTGTCGGCCCAATGTAGGTGAATCCCTTGGAACCTCGGCTATTTTGGGGTCGAGATATCCTAGTATGACCAATCTGGCTTTTGCTTTCACATTCTTGGTTCGCTTCAGTTGCTCCTTTTCTTGTTGGTCTATTGGTTTCCATGTTAGGATCCAGCGACATCGTAGTATTTGATCAGGGGGTACCTGGTCTCTTACTATCTTGGAAATTGTTCCGGTTTGTAACGAATTCTGGATTTCCTTTTCCTTGGCCTTTTGGAATTCTGCTTTTTCTTCGGAACTGAGTGTTGCCAATTTCACCTCTGCCCTTTGCCGTTTAGCGGCTGTAGCAAGAAAACCAAACTCCCCAGGTTCATCTTCACGTTTCCAGTTTTCAACATCTTGGTCAGTGATGTAAAAGGAGCAAGTCCAGGCTTGATCGGAACGCATCTCCAGTGATTCGGGATCCGTGTCAACGCAGTGAAGTCCCTCGCACACAAGATCATCATCCTGTATGTCAGTTGGAAGTGGAGTGTTTTGAGCGAGTTGTTCTTGTGCCATGTCGTGTTCAGGATTGAGTACTGGTACTGATGTGTCGTGAATGGACTGCGGTTGTGTGTGTATAGAACTTGGACTGTCTACCGTCGACGGATGACTGCCTGGGACTCCAGGTTCCGCATCCGGTTGTATTTCGGATTGATGCTCTGATCCATGGTGTGTCTCTGGATTTGTTATTGGTGTGTTATTGGTGGTCGGGTTATGGCTGGTTGCTGGTGGTAAGGTTACGTCTGGTGGTGGGTTAAGGTGTATTATGTTATCATGGATACTGTTCATGTGGTGAGGTATCTGTTGTGCAATCGTGGACACTGATGGTGCGTTCGGTAGGATCACAATCCCTTTTGCTTCCATTGCTGACACGGGTCGAATGTGTTCTGGTGCGGCTCTGTACAGCTTGGCTGCCATGGTTGTCCACACCGTCTGCGCATTCTCATGAACCACAACCTTCATTGGTCCTGTCCATTGGTCAGGATAAGCACCCTTTCCCTGTCTCCATACCATTACCCATTCCCCAGGTTGATACTTACGAATTATCCCTTGAGACTTTCGAAGTATGGCCCTACGCATGGCTTGGTAATGGTCGGTTTGGACAAAGGCTTTTCTGGCACTCTCCCGTCTGGCAAGTTGGAGCCTGAATTGAACCCCTTGGGCTGATTCTGCATCGGCAAGCAAGTGTGCTGGTAGGAGCTCATCGCTACAAATGGATCCCGGTAGCCGCATCTGTTTGCCTAAAACCAGCACTTCAGGGGAGTATCCCTTTCTGATACTGTATGCATTCTTTGCTTGGACACACCACCACAGACCCTGTTTGAGATCATGATAAGTATGTATCGCATGTTCCTTTTCATACTTTGTCAACATGTTTTGCAAAATCAACCCATGACGTTCCGCTCTGCCATTCTGGAAATGAGCTTCAGTGCTGATTGTTGACAAACGAATGTTATTTGCTTGAACAAAATTGGTGACTTCTTCGGAGTTGAGTTCAGTGCCGGCATCCACAATCATCTCATGTGGCGGCCCAGCCCACATCAACCAATATTGAACAAAACATTCAAGGAAAGCATCAGCTGCACGGGAGGGAGACACACAGGCTACCTGGAAACTTGTGGCACTGTCTACAAAGTGATAGACGTGAAACCCTTTTTCTTGTGAATTGGTCCACGTGAATCCGTCAACATGTATGCGATCATTGAAATCCAGCTCATCACGCAAGGTTCCAGGGGTTCCTGGTTTCGGTGCTCTTTGTGTTTGGCAAACAGAGCATCGCATCTCCAGTGCTGCTCTCGCAACTTCAGGACGGAATCCCTGCTGGCGAATGATGCTACTGAACTTCTCAGCATGGGGGTGACCTAAGTTCTTATGGGCTCTAATAAGGGCTAATTGTTCTTCCTTGGTCAAGGACTTAAACAAGGTACCCTGTGTTGGAGACTTCAGGTCTGCTTGCTGGGACTCCGTCAATGTGGAGTCAGGATTCGGACTTTCGGTGTCAGTCGCTTCGGAGTGCTTCGGCTCCGTCGCAGGGATTGTTTCTACCACGGGTGTGGCATTTGAATTGGGTGCAGTCTGTTCAGTGACATCTGGCCGAGATGCACTGTCAGCCTTTGGAACTTCCGGATTGCAGGCAAACACTGTCATATTTAGCCGGCACGGATGCGAAGCTCGGATGAGCTGTCTGTTGGGTAGGTTTTCCCAGGCTTCCCACATGTCATCTGCTTTGATTTTTCCAGAATTTCTTTCTGTAAACACACTTCTACGGTATGGTGCCTCTCCCTTCATGAGGTTCTTTGGGGGTGCTATTGTTCGGTTGGTCCCTCTGCATACAATTATCCTTTGGATATTTTTGTTCCCCATGAGTGTCTTCACTTGTGATATGATTTGAGAATCCTGAACTTCTATCTTTCCTACCCTGGGTGCAATCTGTTGGAGTCCCTGAAAAACTTCTTCCCATACCTTGGTAGCATCTATTGGTGGTGTCTTGGAAGTTAGTTTACATCTTTTTCCCCAAGGAAGCTGGTCTACTTCCCTTGCCCGGCTGATTTTCAGTGATGCCTGTGGGCTCATGCGTGGACGTTTGGATGCCCTTTCACCACGGTCGGATTCGTTGGCGAGGGTCCATGTCCATAGGCATTCCTCCTGTTGGAGAAGGTACGGCATTTCACGTGGCACTCGTAAACGGCACAGGCTCTTGGCAAGGCGACGTGCAAACTTCCGGGGATAGTTTTCCGTAAAAGTCGTTCTCAACATGGTGCTTCCATTCACCTGGCATGAGCCTGATACCTGTTGGTGTTGGTGCTGACCATGGCATTTGAGACCTTCCAAATCATGATACATACCCGGTGATGAAGTCATTATCGTGAGTGACTTGCGCATATGCATTTGGGTGTTTGGGTCTCTCAGGTCTCCGGCTGTACACAGATCAACATCCAAAGCCAGTAGTCGTTGTCGCACCTCCTGCACATAAGGGAGTTTGAACACATGAGACGTTCTGGGCTGTTCCCAGTGGAAGTGTCTGCCATTGGCTCTTGGATGTCGCATGAGAACAATTCCCAAAGCTATTTGATCAATATGTTGCAACCGTGACTGTTGGAGAGCATCCCATGACTCAATAGATTTACTTCCATTCAAATTGGACCAACCACTCCAAGGACCACATTTGGGGCTGAACCATATGTGACGTGGTCTGTGTGTTTGGATGACATGAAACAGCCGTTGGCGACCCTCAACAGTTTGTAGATCTCCCTCTGCCAAACCAAACCGCATTGCACGATGACCCATTTGCTGACACTGATGCGTCAGTTGGCTGTTTGGTCCACAGAAGACTTCTAAGACGTCAATAGCAGGACTCAGTTTTCCGGAAACATCCCCACACGAGTTAAATTCCCGGGTTATTTGATGCAACCATTTATTGAACATCTTTCTTTCAGTGTTGGTTTCGGGGGCTATCAGATCACCTTCAACATCTATGGCATCATGATCACCAGCCATCAGTGCATGGTTCCAGCTGGGGCATTCATCTACTGTGGCTCGGTTGGTGTCTGGAGATTCTCCAGAAGAGCCACGATCTGCGACAGCGTGGTCTCGACACTCAGCACTCGGTGTTCCAGCTGTGAGACATCGGCCTGTTGGGCTGTCGGTATGCCGGCACTCATTCCCAGGTCGAGTTCGTCCGTGAAGATCTCGAAGTCCTCCTCCGTGGTGTCCCACACTGACCCTGTGTCGGTGGGGACTGGCATCATCATTTTCTTGGGCATGGGCTTCGCCTTTGCCGTCATTGAGGCGGTGGCCATTGGTGGCCCTTTGTTCACAATCACCTTGGAGCCTTCCAACTCGGCCCGTTCCACCATCAGCTGTGTGTAGTAGAGAAACTTCTGGTGATTCTCCTTTCCGGACTTCTCGTACCTTCCCGTGAACCACAGGATCCAGTCTTGGTGATGCTTCCACATCTCGCTGTACTTCTTGCCGATATGCGTCTGACCAAAATCAACCGTTGTCTCCTCCAGTTGGCTGAGACTCAGGTGACTGAAGTCGTGTTTGGCTGTCTCTCCATGAACTTGGATCTGTTTCAGGCGATGGCTGAGGCTTGTCATTGCTCAGCGACTTGGGAAATCGAAAACTTCGGGCAAACCTAGCAGGCTTTGAGCTACGAGTGTCTACCGGTTCCGGCATATCATCTTCGTGCTTGGGAATACTGGAAGTTTCCTCATGTTCGTTATTGCAACTGCTAGAATCTTGGATTGAAGTTGATTGGTCTTGATAATGAACTTGAACTTTCTTGTTGACATGTGTGTGACATGGCATAGGGCATGTTGTGTGGTTCCCTGACGATTGCAACTCTGTGGTGACTTCTGGCTCTGTACACTTGGTCATTGGCGGCTTTTGCATCACTTCGGACACTTGGTGGGTTTCAGCAGCTTGCAAAGACACGGTCGTGTCAACAAGGTTATTAAGATCCAAAAGAAACAATCCCTTGCTCGTGCGCTGAATGGGAATGGTCTTACCTATCTTGGCTGCAAAGATAGTCTTTTTGTCGGTGTCTATGACCGCTCCAATCGCTCTCAGCAAGGTGTTTGACAAAAGGAAGGGTGTCGACCCTGGCACTATGGCAATTTTCAGCCACAAACCATGTATTGGAATTGCAAGTGCGTACTCACTTTGTAGTGTTCCCTGATTACCAAACCGAGAAGTGATGTGGCATGGGCAACGTCGGACGGATTTCCTGGCAACAGGTGACAACCCTTCTAACAAGCCCTTTACCAGGTTACTGCCTATAACCGTTTTTGTGGCTCCCAGGTCGACTACCCCCATGCTACTGTACGTGGCAAACAGTGCAGCGTGTTCCCCGGTCGGGGTCGGCTCAGCATGGCATGCAGTCGGACTTGTCGTGGGCACCTTGGGTGGTGTCCTCATCGATCTTGGCATCAATCGATCATCAGGGGTCCTGGGCGCAGCTGCATGTCGGTTTTGGTGGTGCCAATTCTGGAGTGTCTCTTGCAATCTACCCTTAGTCTCAGACTGAGCAACCCCTTTTGGATGACAAACAAAACACTGGCTAACCGGTGATGAAGTGACATCTACAGCGCTCTCAAAGCTCGGGAGATTCAGGAATTCCAGAGGAAGGCCGTCATCAGCCTCCTGCACTTGAACAAACGTAGTCGGAGCCTGTGGTCGAGTGGCTCCTGAGTGATCGTTCCTTGATGGGCATTCGGCTTTCCAGTGGCCAACCTTACCGCACAACCTGCAGTTGGAACTCAGGATCCTCTGCTGCAGTGATCTACGGCTTGAGTTGTGCCCCTTATTAAACTTCCCCTTTACCCCACGGTTATATCCCTTGGATTTACCCTTGGTATTTTGGGAAAGAGGCCAAAACCCACATCATGACTTCACCTTTTCACTCAACCTTCTCCGTGCTTCCGTATATGCATTCAGTGCACTGGCAAGTTCTTCGTCTCCCTGCAAGACGTCGGTCGCAGCTGCCTCAAAATCGGCAATGAGAATGGCATCAGCATCACCTTCCTGTACCAAGACGTCCACCATCTCGTCCTCATTGTATTCGTCAGGCGACTCTGCAAGCATTGCAGAAGATGGTTCATCATCTTCCTCCAGTTGGTCGGCTGCCAATGCATTTGCATCATAGGTTTTCAGCTTTCCTACTTTCTTTCCAGTGGTGACTTCATGAAAGAATCCAGCACCTAGCATGCGAATGGCGGCAGAGACTCGAGGAATGGTCAGCTTCCCATCTGCGCTCACCTGGCTGTCAATCACGACACGTTTCTTGTCTTCAGCACTCAGGTTGGATCCCCTTAGGGTGATGTATGCTTGCAGCTCTTCCAGTTTGACATCCTTCAGAAGCAGTTCCTGCCACAACACGTCGGCTCTGGCAAGAAAGCTGTCATTGGTTTCATCCTGGCGCTGGGTGCATCTGAACAAAGCTTTCTCGGCAGCTTCGTATCTCCTTTCCAAAGGGATCTGTCCCCACTGGCCTCCAAGCAGTTCTATGATCTGCTGGATTGATTTTCGATCATTTGCAGTGATTTCGGCACTCTTCTGTTGCAGCTTTTGGAACGCAGTCCCGGAACATCCTAGGATCAAGCGTGTTGCTAACTCCGTCCATTTTCCATCTGGCCACATGTTCATGAGCAATTGTACTTTCTTTGTATAGTCAGTGAGATCATCTTTTGCAGGATCAAAAGTCGGCACTAAGCTGGCAAGTTGATTGGGCACTAGGTTGGTGGCGGTACCATCCGATCCACCTGATGTTTCTGGCATCTCCACCTCCTCCCTGGATCCTCAGCGGCTGGTGCGAAGCGCTGAGCTCCGCTACCAGTGTGAGTGGCAGGTGTCCCTCACACTGGCAGCAGATGATCCCAAGGCACTTTCGGACCGCGGCTCTTTTTCCCTGAAAGACACCAAGTCCTTGCAACACTGGAGACAAATCCTCCAGGGCACCAGGTTATGGTCCAGGTAGACCTTTGGCCAGGCAGGTTCCAACCAAGCGAAATGAGTCAGGCCCCTGGCCTGCAAGATTGATAGAACGGCCTCGTTCCAATCCCCTATGGCTCACAGCACAAGGTTTTTTCCCACCCTCCAACAAGTCCCTAGGCCCTCCTGAGCCGCATGTGCTAACAGGTAGGAAAGGTGTTCTCTTACCCCATGTTATGGATACCTCAGAGTTTGACATGAAAGGGTGGTGCAATGATTTTGAATCACAGTATATGTATATATGTATATACACATATTCCAAATTATATGAAATGCGATTGCCAACTGAGCCCAACAGTTGGTCTCACTTGATTTCGCCCTGATCTCATCTTGATCTCAGCCTGATCTTGTCTTGATCTCATGATCTCAGTTGATATCTGTGTCACTTTGTGTTGCCATGTGTCATGCAATGTGTCATGGAATGTGTTGCCGGGGAGCCTTTGGCCTCCTGCACCTGCTTCCACCACCAGCTGCTGCTTTGCGCCAAGCGTTGCAACTCAACGGCTTGCAAATGCCTTGTCAGTCGTCCTGCCTCGCGCTCAATGAGCTCCAAAGCATCTTCCATCAGAAAATGCAAACTGCGAAAATCTGCAAAACAGGAATTTGAATTGTATTTCAACATATTTCAACTCTAGGTGTGCTGTCCCTTTGACAACTTCTCAGGCATGCTACGCATTGTTTGCGACCTTCAAAAGTAGTTTTCTCTTCAGTTTCTGAAATATCTGACTGAAAAGTTCTACACTTTATTACAAAATTTACAAAGCAACTCTTCTCCGCATTGAGCTGAATATAGCTGAATGTGTTTCTGAATGTGTTGGGAAGAAATTTTCGCACCTCATGGCTTCACTGGCTCTTTTTCTGAGACAAAGTGCTTCGAGCATCGAGCTGGGTGTGATGAATGTCTCGAGTGTGTCCAAGGGTTCCACAACACAAACGTCATCTTCCAACGAAACAAAAGAAACTCCAACACTCCAAACTCCAATTTTCCAATGTTTGGCAAAAAGGGATCAATCATGGATGCAATTGTCGAATATTGTCGATATTGTCGGACTTTCCAAGCAGTGCGTCTGCAATGCTGTGTGATCCACCTGACTTCCATAACAGCTTGGATCAAAGACGATTCCTCTGCACTGCCATAAACTAAGCAAAACTATGTATGTTCAGACTGTTCAGACTGTTCAGACCTACGGAACCATGGAACAAAGACTAAAAGGATGGTGCTGGGCTGTATCTGGATTTTGGAATTCGAAAAAAGGGACCTCTCTGTGCAAACATGCCGGTGCCTGCATGAAAATGTCAAGGGAATTCAAGTCAGGTTCGATCAAAGCACTGTTTGGTCGTATTTCCAAACATCGGGCCACTCACACAAATTCGTAGAAAATGCGGAAATGGAACCATTCGAAGAAAACATTCGGTGCCAAAGTCGTCCTTTGCCGATCCTTTGCCCATTGGCCAATCCTGCACAGTGACCTGCGGACTCTGTCATTCCAAAATGATGAGAATGCACATTACATGGAGCTTATGTCAAAGAAAAACAGCCTCAATGGAAAGTTGGATGGGTCTCGTGATAACAAAAGCAAGAAAACGAAATCAACCTAAGATTTTGTGTGGAACTACTCACCTGGACATCAAAAATACCCTGTGGCCCTGCGGATTGATTCCAAATCACCCCAATCCCAAGGTGCCTGCTTCGCAGCAAGGCAGAGCCAACCCCTCGTAAGGCCATCATGTCATAGTCCCATTGATGCTGTTTCTGCACCTGCCAGATCTGCCAAATGCGCCAGCATGGTGATTTCAACACAAGGCTGCACTGGCCAATACTTCCAACACCTTCCAACTAGCTTGGGTTCATGCGTTAATGATTGTCTGTCCACGCCCATTTTTTTTGCCTTTGGTTTAAGATCAGCCGCCGCGAGGTGCTAGAAAGGAGTTCAAAATACAAACAGGAGCCAGCACTCTTCACGGGACATCTATCGCCTCAAAGGCATGCCAGCCTGCTGTCATTCACATATTTCACATGTAAAAACTAAGCCTATTGCTGAAAACTACCCTAAGGCCCGAAAGTCAAAGTGCATCCGACGTCTGGACCCAAGGAGTCGTGGTAAGGGACAGTATCCATACAAATATGTTACTGTCAAGGCCTCTCTTTCTGATGGGCAAAGACCATGGCAAGCAATGCAAGTGCCACATCTTTGGAGGCATCTCTCCTTAGGGCATGGTATAAAGCACTGTTCCGAGCTTCATCTTTGGCATTGATCTTGGCATGTTTGTTCACCAGGATTTTAATCAAGTCCGGTTGAAAGCTTTCCCAGTGCTTGTATTTCACAGCAAAATGAATCGCAGTGAGGCCTCGATCCTCTGCGACGTTCACATCTGCAGCGTGTTGAATCAACAGGTGGGCCACCTCAACCTGAACAAGTCCAGCTGCAAAATGCAGCGCTGTTCGTCCACTGCGATCTCTGGCATTCACCCTTGCCCTCGTGTTCAAGAGTTCTTGAACCATCTCCAAATACCCACGTCCTACTGCAAGGTTCAGAGCCGTCTTCGTATCTTTCGGGGTAGCTTCAGCTCTGAAGTGAATTAAGTGATATGCCATGTCCATCTGGCTAAGTTGGATTGCTATTTCCAATGGTGTTTTCCCTTGCCTGTCTTCAGGTGACCGATCTATATCCGTCATAGAAAGGTATTCAAAGATATCCCCCTGTCGGTACTGGATGCAATGATGAAACGGTGTCCGGCCCATCTTGTCTGCAGCATCCATGTCTGCTTTCATCGCCAGGAGCAACTGAACAAGGGTCAAATCACCGGTGGCCACCGCAATGTGCAGAGCAGTTTCCCCATCATTGTCTGCACTATCTATAGGTGTCCCGTTGGAAACCAATGTTTGGACACATTTCAGGTGTCCTTTGAAGGTTGCAAGATGAAGTGGTGTCTGGCCATCTTCATCCCTGGCATTTAAATTTGCTTGGTACTTGAGCAGCATGAGCATGGTTTCTTCGTACCCTTTTGCTGCTGCCAAGTGCAAGGGGGTTCGACAGCAAGAGCCTTGGCTGTTTGGGGACTCTCCAAGCGACAGAAGTCTTTGCACACTTGAAGCAGCACCTGCTTCTGCAGCATTATGTAGGGAAGTGCGCTTTGGCATCGACACATCGACAAATGTTGTCAGAAAAGTCTTGAGCCTTTGTAGGCTTCGAACGAATCTAGCGAGCTTCAGATGGACAGAAAGCCAGAGGCTTTATTTGACAATTATATGACAATTATAATATATATATATATATATAGAACATATTATATATATACATGTGTATGATTGTGTATGTATGTATTATTTTGTTGAACTTACATGTGTAAATTGTGTAACATCTCACAGTCATGGCTCATGGCCAAAGATCAGCTGGGCCTTGCAACCTCCTTGCAACGTCAACGTCTTGCAACCAGTACATGGAAGAGACTTGACACCGGCACGGGGCACCTGGCACTTCAGTGACCTCACTGAATCTGTAAGAATCTGCATATACCACATACACATCATTGATATCATGCCATATGATGAAATGATGTCAATAGCAGAAAATATACGAAAATTCAAACAAACTTTTCTTCACGCCCGGATCCTGATGGCTTTTCATGGCACATGGCTGCCATGGCTCTGCCATGGCTCTGCCATGGTTCACCATGGATCCCGACTCGCCTCTCACTGAGTTCACTGATCACCTCCCGGAGATCCCAGCCATGCTGCAGCAGTTGGTCTTGGTACCACGTGATCGGCGGCAACCTGCTGGGCCTTAGACGAGAGATCCCAGTGGATCCCAGTGGATCCAACTTGACCGGGCAATGGTCATCCGGTCATCCATGATCTGAGAAGAGACTTGGTCACTGGATGTCACTGGTGTTTAAAGGAGCCATGAGATGCCTCGACTTTGCCCCGAAATCACTCCAAGCCAACTTTGTGTGGATCTGTTGTAGACTGACAAGACATGATCTTCACCCAAATCACCCAAATCTCAACAACCAAATAGTATATAACTGGTAACCAAATAGTTATTAAATAGTTTGATATAATGTTTTACAGTGTTCTGTACAGTCTACAGCCCAAGGTGCTTCCATGCCATTCTCACAGGTTTCTGCCTGTGCTCCTGAGCTCATGTGACGTATGCATGGCTGTGGCCAGTGCATGGCCGCATGGCCACTGTCCTGCCGTAGAAAGTCCAGCCAATACGGATCCAGCACTGCAAGAATCAACAGCCTCGGGGCCGCAAATGGCCCCAACTTTGGCAAAATATTGGTAGTCACATGGTCCCAACTTGTCATTGAAACCCTATCATGGATGCCAAGGATTGAATAGCTCACAGAAGCGTTCTTTGCAACTCATAGTCTGGGGCAGTCTGCACCTCTATCGACAATGGGAGGGATACGCAACAATACACATACGTCACATACCTTCCTTTTCGTTGGTTCTTCACAGAATCAAGGCAAGAGCATCAGCAACGAACAAACAAAGCCTTTCAAAAAACGGATTGCAGACGGACCAGTCGCAACAAAGCAGCTGCGGGGCCATGCCCCGAATTGTCTGCAGTGCTTTGAGGAGGGCTACGGTGAAGCTCGGATCGTGGTACTCCAGCAGACCCTTCCGCAGGACGGAAGATGAACGAAGGCACAAGAGACAGATTGAGAGGAATTGAGAATCTTGCTGGCTTTCCTCACTTGCTACTTGGCAACATTTGGAGCACAAAGTTTTTTGATGTTTTTTGGCATCAAATGGCATCAATAGTTTGTGTTTCCACATTTTCACCCACCCAAACCTGAAGAAAAGGAGTGGAAAAGGAGTGGATACAAGTGGAGCTCATTGCCATTGCCGCAAGACATCAAAAGAAAGCACTCATCTGGGCACCTCACACACCCAAGCCGTGGAGGCATTTGGATCAAACCCAGCATCAACCTGTGAGTTCCGTGACAGTTCCGTGACAGTCTCATCTTGTCATATCGGAGAATCGGAGAAAGAAAGCAGGAGGGAATAGCAGACATCGGAAGCACTTGTTCTACTTGTTCTTGCAGACCAATTATAACAAATTCTGTTCTTAAGCTGCTTGAGCTTGTGACCAACGCCGGGTGCAGCATCTCTGGCTTTTTCAAGTCCAAGCCCAGCTGGACAACATGTCCAAGGTGTTGTACCCATCTGCAGGCGAATGGTGGGGCAACACGTACCACGATTTGTTTAGCTTCATGAGCTTAAGAACCCGGTTTGGGCATGTCAAAGGTTTATTGAATCGATTGAATGGAAGATGGGAAATTGTCGACATGCAAATTCTGCACATACACTTGCCTCCGCAAACCCCAGGCAGTCAGGCTACTCCGTATCCATGACAATTTTTGTGTTCTCGCATGTGCACTTCAACGTCTTCAACTTCGGAAGTTTCTGAAAACTCTCAGCTGAAACGAAATTGCCTAGGGCCTAGAATTGGACTCCTTCTCCTGCTTTGCTCCCATCAGGACCACCAAGATACGGTTGTGTGTAAATTGGTCCAGTGAACCAGTCATGCTCAACGGCATTCTCGCCCACACGCCCAACCAACTCCGACAACTTGGGAGAGAATGTCTCCATCACACTGGCTGGCATCGCCCAATGAAAGTTATGTTCTGATTTCAACCAACCCAGGTTGTAGATAAAAAGAAGCCCATGTCTGGTTGATCCATTCGATGGATCATCAGACAATTGACGTGGCGCATGAGCACCTGCACCGTGCAAGGTGTTGCCGCACCACAACACCACCGAGCCCTTTGGCATCGTTGCTTGAACAATGTCTTCTTCAGTAATTCCTTGTGGAAAATTCGATTGCTTGTCATATGCCTCATGCTTCATGAGGGGCCAGTGATTGGATCCGGGCAGAAAGCGCGTTGCACCGTTGGTTTCGGTAAAATCTGAAGCAGCCCACATCACAGAAACCGAAAACTCCGGTCGACCTGTTGAAGTTGGAAGCCATGGCCAAGTCGAAGCTCCCCACATGGAGTTGTCCCGATGGAGCACTTGGGCTGGCGCAGGTTTTTCGTCCAAAGACGGCGGAGCTTCCACTGAAATCATGGAACACGTTCCCAGATTAATCCGTTTACACCAAGGTCGCAGGATTTCTTCCACTGTCGCAACTACAAGTGGATGCACTGCCAATTCCTGAGCCATTTTGGACTCGCCCAAAGGTTTCGCGGCGTTGCGCAAAGTGTGATGTCCAGCAAATGAACCGACAGCTCCATGAAACACTCCACTGGCGGTCTCCAATTCCTTCAGCAACATGTCCATCTTCTCTGGAGGAACAAGGCGCTCCAGCACCACTACACCGTTTTGCCTCAAGGCGCGCCCAAGCTCCTCCACCCTGGTGGATGCAGAAAATCGTGGCAGGACGGTACATCGATAACGCTGCAGTCGGCGGAAGACATAGAAACTGCAGAAACTCAAAGCGACACTGACCACTGTGGGCAACAGCACCTGAAGCAAAGGCTCCTTAAACTGCACCATGGCAAACGCGTAGCATGTGCAGTGAAGCTGAAATTCGAACTCTTTATATCCCTTTATTCGAATTATTTCTGCATCAAACAGCAGAGCCACTTCATCTAAATTGGGCGTCTTTATCCTTTTGTGGCTAGCAATATTTTTAAGCTAATGTCAGCTCGCCTGATCTGCTTCCCAAGCCAAAAGAGCTCAACTGTTTTCTTGTCCCAAGCAAATATATCAAATATTGGATTTTGACAAGAAAACATGCAAAGGTTTTCAACCTCACACACGTCTTGCATCCCAGCCAGTCCCAAAGGCCTTTGGCGAAATTTCACCACCCGCGGGGTGTCCACCTGTCATAAACACTGTTCAAGTTCCTCTTGAATTTAGAATTCAAGAACAAATTAGTTGAAAAATGTTGAAAATTCAAATTAAATTGTTAGTGATCTTAAAGAGATGCGCTCGAACCACCCTGTGGTGGCACCCGGATCAAATCGACAAATTCTGCAAGACTCAGCTGCCAAACCGACAGTTCCAACAATTCCAGCAATTCAGCTGTGACAAAGTCACTAAGTTCGACTAAGTTTGACTAAATGAGTTTTGCCCGGCCTCAAAGAAGTGCATATCAGCCAGGCGAAGTGCCCGGGTGTCACAGCCCACCCCCAGCTGAACAACCTGCTGAAACACTGCACTGACCAAATCTGACAAGAAGGATCATGAAATTCAAATATTGAAATCAGTTCATTGCCTCTTTTCCATGTGTGCGTTTCAAAGAAAATGACAAAAAAAAGGAAGAAAAGATCCGACAGTAGAATTAGTTGCTAAACAGGTCCTTTACACAGGAGTTACCCAAACGAAACAAGTGAAACAACCGACCATGGGACAATTTCATTGTGCGGAAAGCTGGCAATGTTTTTGTTTTTATCCAATCGAAAGATCCCTCAATTGCCTGGCGGATAGAAGTGGTTCGTTCTTGGCAACACCACGCTACCAAACGGTCATCTAACAAGCGTGTGCGAAGTGCAACCAAGTATTGCAGACCTCAATACGGCAAGAAAATTGATAATTCACTGAATTGCAAAGATATTTTACATCCGCCAAGGCGGTTTTCAATGCTGAACCACCAATGCCCCGCCACCAGAAACTCTCATGCGATTCCAACATACAAAACATGGACAAAATATCTGTCAATGAAATAGAAACTCTTTATTTTTGCCCCAGCATCACAATGTTTCAATGAAGAAACCATCACAAAGAGACACTAGTGTTTCCAATGGTGCCATCAAGGTGGCTGGAAGCGAAAGTCGCAGCTGATAGTTTGTCCACCGTTTCTGGCCCAAGACCCTCCTTGCGTTGGCTGAATCACAAAAACCTATCAAACCTGGCGTACAACAATCCTGGACAAACAGGAGGTGCAAAATTGGAAATCAGTTGTCGCTCGTGGAACCATGTATTTTTTGGGACGCTTCATCATCATTTTCCCTAGGCCATCATGTTTGTCATGTCATGTCTGACAATGTTTTATCTTCAAATCGGCAAGACTCCTGCGCAAACTCTTTTGCAAACCGGTCTATGATGAGCGGAGATGGAACAGTTGCCTCCTGGGAATTGAAATGATATTATCCAAAGGCAATGGCACAACCAAATCGCGTAAATCAACAAAACCGACGACACCTCAAATGCAGTCAAGCGCAATTTGTTGATCCCAATTGGCTACCAACGAATCTCATAAATTCCAAACATTTTTTACCCCACATCATGCCACGGCACAGCAATAGCACAGCTGCCCAACCTTCCATCGCCAAACAGCACATAAGGCAGCTGATCGTTCCACGCCCCGCAACTGTGCCGCTCGCGCAGCGCGCAGCAACGAACCACGTTTTTGCATGGCAACATTGCCTCATGGCGCATAAAAACATATAGTACACATGCTACATATGCATATGTTATATATATATATATATTTTTTTTTCTCAGGTTATTTATTGGTTTTCCTTTTGAAACAAAAATGATCAACGACTGGCTCTGAACAAATCACCACTCCGGAACACTCGAATTTCAATTCCAACATGCCAAAAGCAGGCGTGCATGCTCAAAACGGTGTACCCATGGACATTTTGCAACGGGAAACAAAAGCATTGCATGCACCAAAACATGCCAAAAGACAACAATAAAATAAACCCAAAGGTATCCCGAACAGCCACAGAGAAAGAAATTGAACAAATACACAACAAGTGAAATATGTTTATTGCACAGCCTTTTTACTCTAGAGGCCGGGCATGCGAAGCGCAATCACAGCGCAATTTTTTGAAAAGCAAATTTCCAAAAGCGTTTGCAATACTATAGCAGCTATAGCAGCTGAACGGCCAATATTCCCGAAACTTCCTGCAAACCGTTTTTTCCCACAAAACTGCTGCCAACTTCACTTCTTCCTAGTACTTTCACCTACCTAACAAACATCACTCACATCTCCTACATGCTTTACATCACCTACACCTTCTACACCCTCTTCTCTACTGCTACTACTACTACTGCTATTACTACTACTTCTTTTACTACTTCTACTACTTCTACTACTACTACTACTACTTCGACTACTACTACTACTGCTGCTGCTGCTACTACTACTACTACTACTACTACTACTACTTCGACGACTACTACTACTACTACTACCACTACTACTACTACTACTACTACTACTACTACTACTACTACTACTACTACTACTACTTCGACTACTACTACTACTACTACTACTACTACTACAACTACAACTACAACTACAACTACAACTACAACTACAACGACTACTACTACTACTAACGACGGTGCGTAGTCGTCCGCCTCTGGCTCCGGCAGCTGTGGAAGGAGTGGTGGCAATGTCGCTGGGACAACCACCACTGTCGACCTCATGAACTTGCCCGAGCTCAGGGACTGGATGTAGTACCCCTTCGATGCGGTGTTCATCCCCATTGCTGGCCCCAATACCCGGATCTTCTCAAAAGGGTGATCCCAATCTCGTCGGTGCCATCGCTTGAGCTTTGCATAGCATCCCGTGCCAGACGGTATCAGTGGCGGCTGTCTGTCTGTCTGTCTGCCTGCCTGCCTGCCTGCCTGCCTGCCTGTCTGTCTGTCTGTCTGTCTCTCTGTCTGTCTGTCTGTCTCTTTATCTATCTATCTACCTATCTATCTATCTATCTATCTATCTACCTATCTATCTATCTAGCTACCTAGCTACCTATCTATCTATATCTATCTTTCTAACTATCTACCAATCTACCGATCTATCTATCTATCTCTCTCTCTGTCTGTCTGTCTGTCTGTCTGTCTATCTATCTACCTGTCTATCTGCAAGCTTGAAAACGAAGCTATTCTGCGAGACATCCTCAGGTTTTGAACTTGACAACATCAAAAACGTAGAAATTCTGCGAGGCTTTCTCAATGTTTGAACTCGACAACGTCAAAAACGAAGCTATTCTGCGGGACGTCCTCCGGTCCTCAGGTCTTGAACTTGACAACACCAAAAACGCAGCAATTCTGCGAGACTTTCTCAATGTTTGAACTTGACAACATCAAAAACGAAGCAATTCTACGAGACTTCTTCATTTTCAAAGTTGACAACATCAAAAACGGAGCAAGTCTATGAGACGTCCTCAGGTTTTGAACTTGACAACGTCAAAAACGAAACAATTCTACGAGACTTCCTCAATTATTGAACTTGACAACATCAAAAACGAAACAATTCTGCGAGACTTCTTCAATTTTTGAACTTGACAACATAAAAAACAAAGCAATTCTGCGAGACTTCCTTCAAAATGGAAAGTTGAGTGCAGCGCTTACGGCCTCGTACCAATGCGTTTTGCGATTTTTCCACTCCGCCTGTCTAAAGTTATGCGCCTGCCACAAAAAAGTGATGCCAGGGGATACGAAGTGCTGCACCTGTCACGCAAGATCATCTTAACAAACCTACAGATCTGATGCTCCAAAATGCAACCCCTCTCAGGAATGAGCGCCCTGACCTCCTAACATCTCTCATGACACGCCTGCCATCGTTTTTGGAAATGCTACAAAACCCTCACCTTTTGCTCACTTTTGAGGAGGTGCACAGTCCCTTGTGCCTGCCACGTGAAACGACATCATAACGTCCAAGAGTGGTCCGAACCCCTGGTGATTTTAACATTTTGACTTCGAAATGTGCTTCCCGCCACAACGGCGTGTACTTTTTCGACATGGCAACTTTTAAAAGTGCCCCACAGCCGAAGTGTTTTGTACATTTTGACTTCGAAATGTGCTTCGCGCCGCAACGGCGTGCACTTTTTCGACATCGCAACTTTTGAAAGTGCTCCGGAGCTGAGGTGTTTTGTACATTTTGATTTCGAAATGTGCTTCGCGCCACTACGGCGTGCACTTTCTCGACATCGCAACTTCTAAAAGTGCTCTTTTAAGCTTTTTCACCACAACGGCGTGCACTTTTTCATCTCTCATCTGGCCAGATGGCTCTGCACCCGCCGCTTTAGCGAGCCTACTTTTCGACCCTCGGGAGCCACAAATCATTGGAAAAACCCAGTGTTTCGCGACTTTCCTACCTTTTCACGCGTCTGAGCTTCTTTCTTCTGACTCTTTCTCTCCTCTGATCTTCTCTCTTCTACTCTTCTCTTCTCTCTGACTCTTCCCGTCTCTGCTTTTCATCTGTCGATATTGTCGGAAGTTTGACTTCTAAACTTCCTTCCACTACTCGAAGGAAGTTTAGAAGTCAAACTTCCGACAATATGGACAGATGAAAAGCAGAGCAGGGCAGAGGCAGAGAGAAGAGAAAGATTAGAAGAGTGAAGAGATGAAAGCATTGTTCCGGTGCAAGGACTAAATGACAAAATATCCATAATCGCGATGCCGGAGAAATTCACGATGACGAAGTTTCAGTTCGATAATGTCAGCGTTTGTCATGAAAGACTCTTGGATAAATGAGTTGGCAATCCTTTAATGGTAGGGTCAATTCTTTTGGAGAAAAGAACCATGCCGGAGGTTGGGAGGCAATCGTAATCACACTCGTGTGTTCTTCAGTTAAATCAATAGTTTCTGTACGAAGATCGTAGTATCTTCTTGCAGATTGTTTTTTGTCAGGTTCGAACGACAGGTGACTAACTCGGCCTTCCTTCGGTATCATCTGTTGGGCTATGACCCTGTTCCAGTGATCGCGTCGTGTTTCAGTATCAGTGATGGGAATTTCAGCACGAAAGGCTTCAGCAAATGGACATTGGTGTTGGAGGGTAAGTGGTAAGGACTCACAAGTAAACGATAATGGCAAGGAGTCTTCATGTTTGATGTCAATGTCAAAACAAAGACACTTCCGCTGTGATACATCGACTTGGCACCAACGTATTGAAAAATTGACTGCTCCAAACTTTCGGCGTAACAGTTCTGTAAGAGGCGTTTGAAGAAGTTGATCGGTGTCACAGATCGACGAATGGATTTCGCTCCAATCAATTTGAGCAGGCGTATGCTGGAGTGTACCAATCTTGCCAAACTTAGCACAAAACTGGAGTTTGTCCTGGGCAGGGTCAACCGTATCTGGCGGTGAAAATGTCATGTGGACTGTGAAAGCTCCCTGTTTAGGACCAATGGGAAGATGGACATCAATTGGTAATAGCGCTAAGTGAAGGTCTATGACTAGGGAAGCAGGGCCGATTATAGCAAGTCTTTTATAAGCCATGACATGATAGCGAATCTTGAGATAGGCAAGTTGTACCAACACGTCCTTAAGCTTGACATCAGAAAAACTCTTCAAATCGAGTACTGACATGGTTACTCCATTGGGACAGTGCTCTTGAAAGGATGTATCATTCCATGGAAGGAAATGCTTCACCTGACATTCGGCTAATCCGTGCATCCAAGCAGCGTCAATGGTGGGTTGTATGCACTTCTCAACTAGTTCAATGTGCGCAAGACTGTCAGTAGAAAGTTGAACAGTAAGTGACGCAACATCAATCTTGTCTGAAATGCGATGACAACCATTCGGCCGACGAAAATCAATAACATTGACAAAAGGCAGGTTCTGTAGGTTGCTCACAGTGTTGCATCTCTCCACAACAGGTCTGGGGAAGACATACTCGAGGGTCTTGCAAGATTGCGTCCAGGAAATCAGGCAATGATCTGCATTCTGTTCAACCTGACAAGGGATGAGAAACTTTTCTTGGTCACTTTTGGGACAGTGTGGAATACCAAGGTTTTGCAGAAAGCCAACATGTTGAACTTGGTCTTGCAATAAGTTGTGGAGCCATGCAGCCGCTTCCAATTCACTGGCACTGCTGGAACACGTAAAAACAAAGTGCACTAAAATGTTTCTATTGATGCTGTGGTCAACCAACTTACGAAATACAATTGCTTTTGGTAATAAGAGACACCGTCCTACACCTGCATCGCAATGTTCAAAGGCTTTTTCATAAGTGATGATCTTGCTGGCATTCTTGTCAGCTTCAATGTCACTTGGGCAGTTGGCAACAAATACATGTTCCTTCCCAAGGTTGGAAACAAGTTCAATGGCTCGCTGTTCGATGGTGTCACCGGCAGTGCAGTTCATACGGTCAGCTATGCCCAGGGTCTTCCTGGTGATAGCCGTTGGTACCGGTCAGCTATTGCGCAGGGACTGCCTGATAATAGCTGCCAGCTCAATTAAACAGGGAGATAGAGTAAGAAATAAGACAAAAGAAAACAGAGAAACGAAGAAGAGAGAAGAAGAGAGAAGAAGAAGAGGGACTGCACTGGGTCTCCCAGCTAGTCAATTGAAGAAGAAGAAGATAAAAGAACTGCACTGGGTCTCCCAGCGAGTCGATCGAAGAAGGAGAAGAAGAGTGAACTGCACTGGGTCTCCCAGGAGTCCAAAAGTTAAAAA